TGCCGTCGAGTCGGCCCCGACTCATAGCGACCCCTCCTTGGGTTTCCGAGGCAGTATCACTACGGAAGTAGGATTGCCCAAGTGTACCAATATTTGTGGAAGCTTATGCAAAAGAATAATATATCTCTTAATTGATTTCTTATATCTTCAATAGTTGTTTTAAAGAATTAAGTCTGTAGTAGTTATACTGCCTTGAATAGGATAATCAAATAACTCAATTGGCATTTGCAGCATTTTCAGTACAACTGACGGTAGTACCAGAGGAATCCATGGCGTTCCTGCTGGAAGTGGAAGTATGCAAAGAATGTGTGGCGACATTTGTCGGACCTGTGGCAGCACTGGTTGCAATAATAGGTAAATGACTGGTGGCAGAATTGGTTGTAACAGGAGGGTGAGGTGCTGTATGTAGAGCAGGAAGAGTTGCATGTCTGAGGCTGTTGTGGGATTTGGATTAGAAATGTGTCTGGTATCACCTGTAACCCTGCTGGTACCATCTGCATCAGTAGTATCTGCTGCCTGCCCTGTACTGGTTATGATGTTTGTGACGGGAATAGTGGAAGGTCACTGTGTGCAAGGTCTATATCAGAAGTAGTCATTACATTTGTAGTTTTTCTGTTGGAAATAGGTGTAGCTACGGTGGTGGTGTTTGCTGTCACGGCATTTCTAGTAGCTGTGGTAGCTGGAGCAGTACCTGTAGTGTTCACATGTGAGGAAGTGGCAAAGTCTTGGGTATTAGTGATTATTATGCCTTGAGTAGTAGAAAAAGTATTCACTGTAGTAGTACTTGTGATGTTAGTGTTAGCAGAAGTAGAGCTGTCTGTAGTGGGAGTAACATCAGGTATTACACTTGTTATATTTCAGGTAGTCCTTCGTGTAGTTGTATTTATACTTCCTGTGGTATTTAAAGCATGAATAACACTACTGGGGAGATAGGTAGTGGTGAAGTTTCCAGGAAGTATGCTAGGAGATGTAGCATTTGTGATGGTGGTACCAGGACTGCCTTGAAGAGGTGAAGTAGAAATGCTCTGAGGGGTAGGTTCTTCAGAAGTAGCATGTGTAGTCACACTGGCTGTGGGCATGGCTGTAGTTGCATTTTTGTTTCCTGCAGCAGAAGTATTCATAATGCCTGTAGTAACTGAATCCATAGGAGTACCTGTAGTG